GCCCCTCCCCTTTATAGGCTGACAGCTGGAATTGCCCTTGGGCTGTGCATTGGGGAAGTTAGGGTATATGTCAGGCTGTGGAAGGAAGACCACTAATGGGGTCCCCTGTCTGGGCTCTGGGGACTCATGTCCATCTGAGACCCTCTTCCCTCTCTGGCACCTCATCCCTCCTGCCGGAGGACCACAGAGTAGGTCCTGCTGGGATGTCTGTGGAGGCCCTGCTCTCTGAAGCCCCTCCTCCCCGTCTCTCCCCAGGTTGGGAGAATGTGGATGATAGTAGTTGCCAGCTGGTTCCCCATCTCCACATCTGGCACGGAAAATGCCCCTTCCGATCCTTCTGCTTCCGGAAAAAAGGTAGCGCAGGGGCTCCATGCCCACTTCCTGCCCACTCCCCTCCCCTCCCCTCCCCTCCCCGAACCCTGAGCTCCGCAGCCCCGCCCATGGCCTTGCACACCCACGGAGAAGACATGGGGTCCTTCCTGCCTCTCAGGTTTCCAATGATACCACACCTTCCCTTAAAGTCACCCGCTCGCTCACCGCCGGCCCTTTCATCTTGCTCACCTGCTTTGCTCTCACCTCCTCGGCCTTCCCTCCGCAGCCAATGAGAGTGAGGACTGCTCGGCACTAACCAATGAGATCATTGTCACCATGCACACCTTCCAGGATGTGAGTAGGAGCTGGGCGTAGAGGAAGGGTGGGGCCTTGGGGTGCCCTGGACAAAGAGGCGGGGCCTGTGTCCTTGTCTGCTTTCTGCTGCTGCGCCCCACCACACCCCAAGAGAAGCCATGAGGACGTCTACGTTGAGACTCTGGGGGACCTGAGGGTTCACGTTAGACAGACACCCTCATGGACTCACTTGGGGATGGGGGCAGGATGGGGGGTAGGGAGGAGGCACCGGTGCCTGAGTTCAGTGTCTATTCTTCAATAACCGCTTCCTGGCCCCACCCAGGACCTCTCCTGGTGTCTTCGGACGCACCTCATTTGGCTTTCATGATCCAGTTTCTAAATAGGGTGTTGTGATTGTTAGGTGTGGTCCAATAGCAACCCTGTGCACAACAGAATAAAACCTGGCCCAGCCCTGCGCCTTCCTCACAGTGGTTACACTTGACCCCATTGTTGCAGCCACTGTGTCCACCCGCCCTGTGGAGGGCCTTCCTCCTTTTGGCTGACCTTCTACTTGGCCTGCTGCTCTTTGGAAAACATGTCCAATGTGTGAGACGAAGCCTCACCGTCACCGGCTTCTAAGGGGAGGGCTTGAGGGGTACATGGAAGACTGCAGGTGGGGCTGTGGGTCAGGGAAGCAGAGGATAAAGAGTTCTGGATGGGGCAGGGCTGTGTCCCTGGCAAGTGGCCCAGGGGTGAGAGGCTCAAGGAGAGACATGAGGAGTGGGGGTTGGCGCCTCAGCTTCTTGCTTTGGGGCTATTTGAGGATCCCCCTGCCTGTCCCTCTGCCCCCCAGGGCTTGGAGACCAGATACATGGAGATCGTCAGGTTCCAGGCATCTGAGGAGGAGTCCTGGGCAGCAGCACCCCCAGTCTCCCAGCCTCCCCCGTGCAACAGGTGAGCTTGCAGCAGCTTGAGCCCGTGGGAAGCTTGTGCCAACCCCCAGGAAGGGGTGGGGTGGGGGGCGGGGTGGAGCACTAGCCTGGGTCGCCATGACCGTCCCCTCCAAGAACACCAGTGCTCCTCTGCCCCAGGCTGCCCCCGGAGCTCTTCGAGCAGCTTCAGATGCTGCTGGAACCGAACAGCATCACGGGCAATGACTGGCGCCGCCTGGCTTCCCACCTGGGGCTCTGTGGCATGAAAATCCGGTAAGAAGGGGCGTGAACAGAAGAGCTGAGGGTGGGCTCTTCGGGACGCCCTAGGGACTGGACCCCAGGCAAGGCAATGACTTAAAAGTCAGAGCCTACTGGCTACTTCTTACAATACCCTTTTCTATAAAAGTGCACCATTTTTGTTGATCGCAGCGTCCTTAGTACCTGCTGTGATCCGCGGCATAGAGCAGGTGTTCGCGAGTATTGTAAATCAGAGCAGAGAAACCTGCCAGCCAGTGAGTGTTTGGCATGCGAACTGATCACGAGAGACTAGCCGCAGTGGGCACAATGTAGTCACGCTCCCTTTCAAGGGGCCTCAGAAATCAGAGAATCATTCTGAGCTGAGCCCTGGGGGTCCCGGACCTGAGTGCTATGGTGACGGAAGATTTCCCCTGGGAGATGGAGCTAGAGGGCTGCATCCCAAAGACAGGGCAGACTTCAAGACCACCCATTCAGCACACATTTAGCAAGCACCTACTGTGTTCTGAAAATGGCGAGGCTCCTCTGGGATAGGAGTTCCACAAAGCAGGAGGCCTGAGCTGCTAGCACGGAGGCATTAACCACTGCCGTTGAGTTGATCCGCAGAGGAGACTCCCCCCACAGGGGGGGATTTGGGGAATGCCCCCTTTATGGAAGCCGAATGCCTTAGCTTTCTTCCAGGGGCTCGAATGGCTAGTCAGAACCAAGAGCTTTACTCTGGGCGGCCCCCAGACCTTCTCCAGGGAGGGACACAGAGAGGTTAAAAGCATGAAGGCACCTGTAAAGGAGCCTGGTGGGGTCGTGGGTACCCATGGGGCTGCGTGAGATCTGGAAGGTCAGGTGTTCAAAACACCAGCCGCTTCTCGGTAGGAAGAGGGGGACTTCTCCCATACAGAGTCTCAGAAACCCACAGCGGCACGGCTCCCCTGCTCTATGGGATTGCTCTAACTTGGCATGGACTTGATGGCGGGGAGCCTTTTCTTTTCTGGTTCCCCTGTACCTTATTGTTTGTAGCCAACTGTGCACGACAAGTTGTAAGCAGAGACACGGAGCATAGCTGAAAGTTAGGCTGGGAAGGACCTGTGGGAGCCATCGCCATGGCACAGGGGATCACAGAGCGGTCCCTTCCACGTGCAGGGGCCGGGGAGTGGGAGTTAGAAAGGTTGGCAGGGATAGGGGGCGTTGGGGGGGGTGGGCAGGAAGGGGAGAGAAGCAGCAAAGGTGGCTGCAGTGCGAGGTGGGAAGGGCCAGGCCTGAGGAAGGTTCTGGCTTGAGGTGGGATGAAGGGGGAAGTCAGGTGGGTAGTGGGGTGGTGGTGGGAGGCACGGAGAGCAGGGGAGATTCCAGAAAGGCTTTTGAGCAGGAGGGCTTGTGATCAAAGCCACGGTTGAGCGAGCGCATTTCAGGATGCTGTGGCCTGGGGTTGAGGGTCGGGGGAGAAGAAAAGGAGTTAGGAAGGAGACCAGGGGTGGGGCTGGGGGTCGGGGCAGGTGGAGAAAGGCCATCCCAGAAAGTGACAGCTGGACACAGGTGGACACAACCCGAGACGTCCTCTCAGCCAGGCCCTCTGTGCCGGAAGAGGGAGCGGAGGCACAGAGAGGCATAGGTGTTCGGCTCTGAGCCCCTGGGACAGATGTCCAGTGGAAAGCCCTGAGCTCTTCTAGTTCTGGAGCCTCCTGGGAGGGAAGCCTCCTGGGTGGGTGGGGACACAAGAGCTCAGATCCTGGACGAGCTGAGCTGACCGTGAGCGGGTGCAGAGCCCCAGGACGTCACAGTATCGGTGCTGAGAGAGGAGAGACCTTCCTGGCCGGCCCCTGCATCCTCTCTCTCCTCTTTTCCCAATGCCTCTCCCATCAGATTCCTGTCCTGCCAGCGCAGCCCCGCGGCCGCCATCCTGGAGCTGTTTCAGGAGCAGAACGGCAGCCTGCAGGAGCTGCACTACCTCATGACCTCCATGGAGAGGCTGGATTGCGCCTCGGCCATCCAGAACTACCTGAGTGGGAAGCTGGCTGGCAGCCCGGCCCCTTCTCCAAGGCTCGCCCAGGATAACCAGGGCCTGGAGCTGGATGAGAAGCTCTGAGCTCCTTCCCAGAAGGAGGGCAGGGCAGAGTGGGGGCCTGTGGGACAACCCCACAACTA